TTTTGTCNCGTCTGGCGGGGGGGGTTCTCATATTTTTAGGGCTACATGTATCACAGTTGTGACCATAATTATTTTTGGCCTGGTCACTTGAGAATTCCCTGAGATGGTCATTTTTCAGTAGTGTCACCACCTCTTCACGTAGATGTCGGCAGTCCCCAGTTCGGTGGCCGTTTTTTTGTGGTATTCGCACCATAAATTAGGATCCCTCTGGATTGGATCGGACCTCATCGCTTCGGGAACCGTACTTCTTTAATGTACCTCATAGCTGATTCCAACTCTACTATACTGACGTTGAAGTTGTATTTTGAAAGTATGGGATAGGAAGAATCTCGAGAACCTGATGCTTCCTTGTCCTGTAGCAATCTGTTGTTTCGGCCACGATGAGTTCTTTTGTCGGTGATGAACCTGTCTGTCGACCGGAACCCTTTGCCGAGTCCTTCGGCCCATTTGTAGGGCAAAAATCGAACCCTCAAAGACCACTAGTCTGTGTCAAAATCATCTAGTTATTTTTCTTTATTCTTCTCTCGATCTTTAGAGGACGCCGGGAAGCCGAGCTAATCATCTTCAATCCTTATCTTTGACTCGTACCGGTTGTGAACATCCACCCAAATCGTCACTTGGAATTCGAGCAAGCTTTCTTTCAACTTTCGGGAGGCATCGAAACTTCTCAGATTCAAACCCTTGGTGAATACTTCAGTCACACATTCATCCAGAACAGCGGGGAGCAACATCCTTTCCTTTTGCAACCGGGTTATGAATTCCCACAACAACTTGGACTTTCCTTTTGCAATTCTGAATATGTCGGTGTTTCGGGCCTACACCTTTATGGCCCCGGCATGAGCCTTAATAAACGAATCTGCGAGCATCTTAAAGGAATCTATGAAATGGTCGGGTAACAATGAATACCACATCAAGGCTCCGTTCGTGAGGGTCTCTCCGAATTTTTTCAGTAAAACAGATTTGATCTAGTGGGGAGCTAAATTGTTCCCCTTCACCACTATTGTATATGTGGTAATATGCTCCTGAGGCTCTAAAGTCCCATCATATTTCGGTACGTGGGGTATTTTAAACTACTTCGGGATCAATTCTGGTGTCATGCTTGGCTTGTACGACAACTGAGTATACTTCTTTGAGTCCGGCCCTTTCAGCACCGGTGGTGCACCCGGGATTCGGTCCACGCGAGAGTTTACTTTCCTCATAAACCATATGAGTTTGCTTTTTAATGAACCACTCTCGTTGTTGTGACCAGATCCACTCCCCCTGGTCTCATCGAGGTCGACCTCACCCCTCAGGGTGTTGTTGTTGACCCTCTACATTGTTTGATATGTGGGAGCACCGGGAGGAATTGAACCTCGTCTGTTCGCGTTATTTGAAGCACCCGACAATGCATGCTTTAGTTCTGTCATAACTTTATCATGTCGCATGAGATAGCCTAGAATGACCTCTTGTTACTCCTGCATGACCCTTACTGCATCAACAACATGCTCATCTTCAGAATCATCGAGAGTCGCCTCCTGAACACGTCGCAGGTACCGCCTGCCATGGACCGGTGTGGCATTATCCTCGTGCTTAGGCTGGTCTCTTTGGGCCTCAAGATTGTGTATGTTGTTAACACCATTATCTGTCATTTTCTGTGATTTTTTGCTAAGAACAAGTAAACAAAATATGTTAGTAAAAAAGATGCAAGGATCAACTTAATTACATGACTGTTTAGGCCCCACGATGGGCGTCAAACTGTTTACCCGTAAAACAGTACAGTTAGATTTATACGTAGTTTCTAGATAAGTGAATTAATTCGATCCTGAAATAATAGAAGAATTGAAATAATATGCAATACTTAGCCTTGAGATGAAAATGAAACAGCAGAAACAATAGTTCCGGGAGCAGGGCTTCCAGATATAACAACAATGGAATAAAAAGCGAAAAGATAAAATAGTATAAAGTTTTGAATAGATTATAGCATAAGTTTTCCAAAAAATTCGTGTCCCTTACAATGATAATAGAGCTACCATTTATAGTTGAACCTAGGGAACAAGGTCCTAGGATCATGCCCTTCTTTAATGTCAATTATGAGGGTCATTGAAGAATGTGTAACAGCGGGCATGAATCACAAATTCTTTATAACAGGCAATGTATTAAATGCTATAGAATATTCTCCATTAAATGCTACCGGGTGGTAGGCATTTATTTTATCTTTATGGGCACTATTCTTTGCGGTAACAAATGGAATGTTTGTCTTCGATTTTAGCTATCCTTTGCCTTATGATCCACGTGTAGCTCCCTTATGCAATCACTTAATAGCATATTTTACCCTATACACCTCTTTCCTTTAATATAGTGAAAATGTAGAAACAAGGGCGACCCAATTTTATTTTTATTTTTTTTGAATCATCAAAATTATAAGAAGGAAATTTTTTTGCATAGATTTGCATCTATACCCGCTTTTTGAATCATATTTTAACTTGTGCCCGCTCTGGAAAAAGAATTACAAGCGTACCCATTTTTTCACGTAACTTCAGCATACGGGGCTGAAGTAGCAAAGGCAATCACGCAAAACTTCAGCAGTCTAGTAGACGGGCCTGAAGTAGCAAGTGTGTTGAACCAAGTGTGCTGAAATTTTTGTTTGTAATTGCTGAACTTAAGCATAATAGCTGAAGTTTTGTTCTCTATTTGCTGAAATTTTTGTTTGTAATTACTGAACTTAAGCATAGTAGCTGAAGTTTTGTTCTCTATTTGCTGAAGTTTTTGTTTGTAATTGCACTAAATAAGTTGAAGTTTTTGTCCTGGATTCATTAGTTTTGTCATTAAGCTTTTTCAAAAATTAAGCAGAAGATGCTGAAGTTATTTAGTTCATTTATAAAAACTTCAGCACTAAATAAGCTGAAGTTTTTTTGTCCTGCATAAGCTTTTTCAAAAACTTCAGCAGAGATGCTGAAGTTATTTAGTTCATTTGTAAAAACTTCAGCTTATTTAGTGCTGAAGTTTTATAAAAAGTGAAAGTTTTAAGACAGCGCCGTCAAATTCTCAAGCCATTGCTGTGGAAAAGTTTGCAACCTTTTCTTGTTGAGCAACAGTTGACACATGGTTTAATAATCCTTTGTCCAGTAGATGGGAAAACCATGTAAGCTACATCTGGATCGCAATTCCGAGTACAAGCCTTGCCATCTGCACATTCCACTTTACTTCCTAGTAGAACCGCTCCTGCAATTAATTCAATCATGTTAATTCTATTAGGAGTTAATGCTTCACTTTTAACTGGACACAAAAGACTTTAATTTTGAGTACTACAAGAAAACAAAAAAAGGTGATGATTTGACATAAAAGAGAATTAAGACTTTACCGGACAAAAGGAGAAGAGCAAGAAAAGCAACTGGTGAATAGCTAATTACTGTGTCTATGAACATCTGTATTACTGTATATTCATAGCAGCACCAACAACAGCAGAAGAAAGCAGCGGAAGAAGAAGAAGAAGAAGAAGAAGAAGAAGAAGAAGAAGAAGAAGAAGAAGAAGAAGAAGAAGAAAACGAAAGAGGAGAAAGGAGGCTGAAATTGTTTAAAAAGTGGGTACAAGTTAAAACTTTTAAAGAAAATGGGTATAGGTTAAATAGGAGCGACCAAATAGGACGCCCCGTGCAATTTTTACCAAAAAAATGTCAGCTAGCATAACAATACATACGATGCTGGGTATAAAAGTATATCGAATTTTTAATAATAAATTCAAACAGTAAAGAATACTGTTTTCAACAGCTAATAAGATAGCAACTACATAAAAAATACTACTCGAAAAGATATTAAATTATATAAAAGCTAAAGAATAATTGAGAAATCGTGATAGGAAAAAAAAAGGAATTTGCATGACCTTTCAAAGTATACCAAGGTCAATTAGCATAACAATGTCTGCTATACTATTATGTCTATGGCTGTTATAAAAGAGGTGGAAACTCAAGTCAAAACTAGAATCTTGGAGGTCATGAGCTAACAGTGCTTATGTATTTTGATTTCTGACATATATACACCCATGTATTCATGCATACATAGTATTTTTGAATTTAAGATGTGAACTTATTTAACTGATTTAAAAAAATGGAAATTTTTAAATTTCTGATCTTAAATATGTCATAATATTTGTGTAGCTAAAATACATTGAAAACTCGTGGTCTGAAACTTACTATAACTTTCATTTGTGTAGCTATACATATAATCGTCATTTAAAGGTATGATGGAAACTTTAAACTAAATTACATTCATTTTTAAAAAGGGATCACTCTTCTTGAACCAGACTAAAAAAAAAATTAGTTCAAATAAATTAAAATAGCTGGAATAACATATACACTAGAAATTAAAGGATGCAACAAATTATATTATGAGAAGCTAGTGTACTACTTACCATTCAAATATTCTTAATAGAAAAAAACTCACTTAATTGTTTTTATGTTAGTTTCCAATTATCTAAATGTATTTTAAAAACTTTAACAAATTGACATTTGAATTGAGAATAAAATTAGAAAGACTAATTTGGCCCTCGTGCTATGAACCTCTTCATTCTTTTCAAAACAAGAGGAGTACTATTTGTCCTATTAATTCTAGCTTTAAAAAAAAGCATTTTATTTCCTCACATGACATGTGCACTAGAAATTAAAGTAATAGAGTAGTAGATTTTCTTAGATATGATTCATCTTCCTTTCCAAGAATTCTATTTCCTTTATTTATTTGTCATGTAGCATGCATGTTATTTCCAAGAAACAACATATCCCTTAGGCTTCTATACACCCTCTCTCAATCCTAGCCCCACAAGATGCCAGAAAAAACACTACTCCTAGTAAAGGAAATGAAGTATAAAATCAGTAACTTGGAAGAGGGAATTGATGAAGCTGGATTTTTTTTTGGGGGGTGGGAGGGGGGAGTGTGGAAAGAATTTACTTCTCTTACCTCAACATTTGAATGGTCAAAAGTCAAGATTGTCTTATAGTTGAAAAGGAAACATCAAGACAAAAATGTCTAACTTTGACTAATAAGTCTTGTATAGATCTTAAAAACCAAAGCATTTGATTCATAATTCTATCACAAACTGGCTAGTGAAGAAAAACACTGAGAGCTATATAGAGAGGTCATCCACCTAACCATAAACCCCACAAACAAAAACCAAAACATGAATAGCAACACTATCCCAACTTCTCCTAATCAATGGAATATGGATATCCAAATGCCATATTACCAACAAACAGATCATTTTGAACTAGCAAATACCCCTTATGAAAGTTTCTCTCAAGATTCTACAATCATGAACACTTCTACCTATCCAAGTCATGTTACAATAAGTAGTTATTCCAATTTAAGTCCTGAAAATTCTTCTGGAAATGGTGATCATCAGTTGAGCCCTAAAACTAGTACTATATCAAAACCAGTGAGAAGGAGATCAAGAGCTTCCAAGAAAACTCCTACTACTCTTGTTAATGCCAGCATATCGAATTTTCGAGCAGTTGTACAACAATACACTGGTTGTCACACTTCTCCAATCAAGAATCAAAGGGGTCCTATTAACTTAAGTTTTGGACCACAAACAGATGATTTTCTTGAAAGTTCAATAGGGGAGGGTTCTCATTATGGATATTACTCTCATGAAGAAGCTGCTAATAAGGAACAAAAGCAAGAATATTTTCAAGAGAGTGGTTCTCCTGCAGGATATAGTAATTCTGGAAATAGTAGGTTAAGTATTGAAGATTATGGATGTCAGTGACTAATAATATTCTGCATAGGAGGAAAAGTTGTTTTTGTTTTTAATAAACTAGCTAGCTAGGTGTGAGAAATCACTAGAGCACAAAAGCCTATCAATGGTTTTTCTTTTGTCATTGTTTTCTTCTTTTCATTTTTGCATTCATTTTTCTTTCTTTCACATGATCTTCTCGTTCCATCCTCTTCCCTCGTCATCCAACCCCCCCCCCCCCCTACCCTTTTCTTAGGCATCTCGTATAGGATAATTTGGATTTGCATTCGGTAGGCTTACTAATATTTGTTAAAGCGCTTCCTACCAAGTAGTTCTTCATAATTAATCCTCAGGCTTGCTATTGTATGGTTATATGCTAATATTTAGAACTAATATAATATTCACAATCAGAGAGTGGTTAGATTATTGTTTTGATCTACTCTACTTTTTTTTTTTATACGTTTGCACAAAATTTTGTATTTCTTCGTAACAAAGGTCACTAAAGCTTGAAATGAGATGTTGATGAACCCAAAAACAGAAAAAAAGAAAATGCAAAGAAATAGGAAAGTAATAAAACAACAATAAACGAAGGTGCATGTTTATTTGAGCTGAGATCTTCAATAATATATTGTCAGAGTTTGAGAATAAACCCCTAAATATACGTTTTTCGTGTGGAATAGGAAAGGAGAAAATACTTGTTTCCATTAAGTAATTAATATTGGATAAGGATGAGAGTGCTATGCATGAGATAAGAAAGCGCCATTTTTTTTAATTCCATCTCTTATGACGAAAGATAATTCGTTTGTCTGAATTCAACACCAAATTATTGTTTTCTTCATGGTATTTATGAATTATGCCATTTACGGCAAATTTAAATTAGCTTTTTTCAAAAAAAAAAAATAGATTTTAATATTATATGGAGGTTATACTTAGTTTCTTTTTTCTTTTATGATTAAGATATATTCTAGTATTATATGTCGGGTTCTTGAGAAACCAAATGTAAACAAGTATCACCATACATTTGACTTCTTTTAATAAATATGAGAATTTTATTGGTGAGAAAAACCTTTGGCAGCAAGAAAGACCAAGTCAAAGGGTGGAAAATTATGGGTGGTTGGACGTCTACATCAAGCCACTACGTGGAAATTAAGTTACACAATTCACAAATGAAACGACACTTAACTTAACTACTTTGTCCTTCGTTGACCCAAAATCTTGTCACTTTCGGTACTACCTCTAAAAACAAGAGAAGAGAATATAATGATAGCATTTCATTTTCCCCCTTGTGTCAATTTGTTTACTACAATACACAAGTAAATAATTAATGGAGTTCACATTTGAAGTAGCGAGGGCACCTCTATTTCAGTTTTTTTTCTTTTCTTAATTCCTTCATACATCTATCCCAAAAGAGTTTTAATTTGTGTATACAATGTAATTAATTTTTCTTACACCGCTAGATTGAGTAACCTACACCAGTAAGGAACTATCTATAATAAGTTTCATACTTATGTTTTATTCTGTTTTTTTTTTATCTAGCCAAAAGTTATCATTATAGTAGATGAGTTCTCATCTTTTGGCGTTATGAAGTTAGATCTTAGCCTCTTGTTCGTGTAAATATTTTTAAAACTAATAAACTAATTACCACCTGAAGTTTCGAGGTCGGAGAGAGAGAGAAAGAGCTTATAATTGAGTTAGCAGCTAATTATTGAGTCCATGATTATGTTATAATTAAGTTAGTACTAGCATACTGCAGTGCTATGTCACTTGAGAAAAGCTTTTCCTAAATGTTTATTGTACGGAATAGTGACTCAACTATCAAAGGAAAAGTACATCAATTTCTGCAAAAGTATAATTCGCACTTAATGAATTAATTAATTTATTTATTGAACCTGGCCTTTCATTTTCTGGTTAAATGCTTAAACTTTATTTAACCCAGAAAAAATATTTACATCCGCTAGTTCTTTTTTTGACTCTAGAACTAGATTCTATCTATTACATTTCTGAACACTCTCAGCTATCACTTTCTTTTTACACATCTATCCCTCGATTACTATACTCATTCTATACTATACTTGGATAATTCTTTAGTCTTGCTAGTTCTTTCTGCCATTTCCTTTCATTTTGTCCAGCCAGGTGCAGTTCCAGCACTATGTCTTTGATTTTCTGCCTGACTTCTACTGCTTTTCCTTGGAATCTTCTGATGTTCCTCTCTGTCCAAACATGATACACCATGGATGTGAACAGGAACACTAGTATTTCTCCACAGGTTCTGCTTGGATTTCTGCTTGTCAACCATTTAATCTCATCATCCAAAGTACCAATCTGATGTTTTTCATTCAGCCACTGAACCAATTTAGACCATATTGTTTTGGCATATCTGCATCCAAACCATAAATACTCCATTGATTCTTCCTCATTTATATCACATAATACACATTCATTGTCAACTATAGTGCCCCATCTTCTTAGCCTGTCCACTATGGTTAATTTCCTGTGAAGTGCTAACCAAAGAATGAATCTATGCTTTGGTATTGCTTTCGATCCTGTTGTGATCTTCTTCCACCAAACCTTCTGGAACTGAGGTCTAATTGCAATGTATAGCTTTTTGATGTTAAACTTACCATTTCTTTGGTATTGCTCCAGCTCATTTCTTGAGTGTTTTTCCAGAAACCATTGCCTAGTGTCAAAGATTTTTTTCACTATCCAGCATGCTTGTTTAGGAGTGTCCATTACCATCACATCTTTCTCTTTGACATAATAACTATGGACCCATTGAATCCATAAAGTATCTTTCTTTGCACTAATAGCCCATAACAATTTGCACAATGCAGCTTTGTTTCATGCATAACTGACCAGAATATTTAAACCCCCTGCTGACAATGGCATACATATTGTGTCCCATGCTATCAATGCTCTCCTTGAAATATCATTTTTTCCTGTCCACAAAAAGGTTCTACATACAGTAACAATCATCTTAAGTATCTTCTTTGGCAATAAAAAGGCTTGTGCCCAGTAAGTTTGCATCTCAAATATCGCACTTTTCAGTAATTGGAGCCTTCCACTATATGATAACCACTTTGTTGTCCAGCAGTTTATCCTTGCTATTATCTTTTCGATCAAGGGCATACACTGCTGCACTGATAGCTTTTTTGAGGAGAGTGGAACACCAAGATATCGAAATGGTAATTCCCCTAAAGTAAGCTGCATTTCATCCAGAATCCTCTCCTTGAATTCTTTTGTAACACCTGCAATGTATAGGGCACTTTTTTCTAGATTGGCCTTCAACCCTGATACCTCTGAGAAATGGTTGAAACTTTTCAGCATCAGTTTGATCGACACCTCATCTGCTCTGGAACAAAGAATTAAATCATCTGCAAAACAAATGTGAGTAATATTATTCCTGGCACACCTTGGATGATGATTGAAGTCTGGATTGTCTTTTAACTTCTTTAGATCTCTATTCAGATACTTCATCACAAGCACAAAAAGGTAAGGAGACATGGGGTCTCCTTGCCTTAGCCCTTTATTCCCTTAGAATCTGTTTGTTAACCCTCCATTTAGGATCAGAGAGTAACTAACAGTAGCTACACATACCATAATCAGCTCTACAAACTTTACAGGCATACCATACTCTATCAATATCATTCTAAAGAAAGGCCATTCAACTGAGTCATAGGCTTTCCTGATATCTATTTTGATACAACATCTTGGTGACACTCCCTTTTTATTGTACCCTTTTACCATCTCATGTGCTATGATCACATTGTCCAGTATGTTCCTTCCTTCGATAAAAGCTGACTGTGATTCTCCTACAATTGAGTCTACCACCAATTTCAGTTTTGCTGTGATGATTCTTGATATGATCTTGTATATAGTTGTGCAACATGCAATAGGTCTAAACTCTTTGACTGAGTTTGGGCTGGCTACCTTTGGAATCAGTGTTAATGTTGTACAGTTAACACTCTTCAACAGCTTCCCATTGCTAAAGAATTCTAATACAGCTTTTCTGACCTCATCACCAATTGTAGACCAATATTCCTTAAAATATTCTGCAGTAAAACCATCTATCCCTGGTGCTTTGTCATTTGGTAACTCCTTCACTGCTTTAACTACATCTTCTCTAGTTATTTTGCAACTCAGCATCTTCTGTTGCTCCTTTGTGAGACAGTGTTCATTCCTAGCTATGTCCAAATCAATGCATGGTAGTTCAGTTGCTGCACTGCCCAGTAGTTCTGAAAGAAGCTTTTGAACTCATCTTCAATCTACTTTGGCTCTGTTACTCTTTCTCCCTGCTCATTACAAATGGAAGCAATTCTGTTTCTAGCCTATCTGTTCTTTAGCTGGGCATGAAAGAATTTTAAATTTCTGCCACCTGCTTTTATCCACACTGCTCTAGATTTTTGTCTTAATACTTGTTCATTTATTCCTTCCCATTTCTTTGCTTGCATTATCATTTCCTTTTCATGTTCAATTAGCTGCTTATTCAGAGGATCATTATCAATATGTCTTTGGATATTCTGTAACTCCATTCTGATTTTCTCCACTTTCTTTTCTAATGAGTTCATTTCTTTATTCATCAGCCTAGCTCTATCCTGTATTCTCTGTAGTTTGGTCCATATGGAATGCATAGTATGCCCTTCAATTCTTTGGTTCCATATCTCTTGCACACTCTCTTGAAATTCCTTTTGATATAGCAGTACATTATATAGCCTGTCACACCTCCTTTTTCCGTCCCCGCGAGGGGGGAAGGAGTTTTTTCAATTAAAGGACAATCGAAACGGGATTTGTTTATTTATTTCAGAGTCGCCACTTGGGAGATTTAGGGTGTCCCAAGTCACCATTTTAATCCCGAATCGAGGAAAAGAATGACTCTGTATTACAGTCCGCGAATTAGAAATCCGGATAAGGAATTCTGTTAACTCGGGAGAAGGTATTAGGCATTCCCGAGTTCCGTG